TCAGCCCATATTAATATGAAGACAAGTGTATAAAATAGGGCACCAGGGTGAGAGAGTTGCTCTGTGTTTTATCTTAAGTGATTAGTACAGTATTGCACCTTGTTATAAAAACTAAGATGCTTCCATGCCATAAAATCCAGCATGCCAACCAGTTCATTCATAAGATTTCTCCCCCAAGCATTACACTTAGTTATACTGTGAGGCAGTCCAGTTCAGTTCCAGGACCAGGAGATTTTTTTTTTTTAATGGAAAAAAAAAAAAAGTTAACACTGATTTTCATCTCTTCCCATAATATTAAAAATGATGTGTAAAGCTCTGCTAATCTGGTCTCTGGATAGCGCCCAATCTCTTGCCACGTGTTTCTGTTCTGGGTCTTGCCCTACGGGAATTTCTGTCAGCACATGCTCAGGAAACAGTTATACCGTTCACTTTTTCTTTTTCTTTTTTTTAGACGGACTCTATCTGAAGCTGGTGAACCTTTGCACTAATCACTGCCAGGTGCCTCTGGCTGGCCTGCTGGAATGCCAGGAATCTTTGCTTTCTCTCCCTCTTTCTTTCTTTCTCCTCTTCCCCCCTCTCCCTGATATATAATAAATCCTTCATTGCAGATCACCTTGCTGGGCACCATTGCGTTTTACTACCCTTTTCTATAAACAAGGAGCAAACAAGTCACCGGGCTGTAACGCGCCGCCCTTCGGACAAGGGCTCCCGTCCGCAGCCCCACGTGGGGCTTGTGGCTGGAGGTGCCGGCTCTTGGGAGACTCGGGCTCCTCCTGACCCTGCTCTCCGTGAGACACAGCGCTGTGGGCACCATCCTTACAGCAGATGGCCTTTGCCTAGGCTCTAGATAAGAGCAAAGTGCTACTTTTCCTACTGCCTTGGGTTATTTCAATCCGTTCTGCACCTTCCGATGCCCAACACTCGGAGCGGTGTCAACAGGCAGGGCGCAACCGGAGCTCGTTACCTGGGAGCAGTGACACGGGTTTAGCATCTTTGTGCAGAGCACCTGCTAAAGGACCTTTAGAAGTGCCTTTCCCTTTCAGCTCATTTAGTAGAATATTTTTAATAC